CTTGAGCGATTCATTGGAATTTGTTGCAGACTTTGTAGAAGGGTAAGTTATTATTACTTATTAGCCTCCATGGCACACTTTCTGAAACTTGAGTTGGTAAAACAGTTTATGTCATTGCATTTTACTCTAAATGGTGTTATGAAAGAACTTTAGAAGGAAAGTGAATGAAATGATGTTGAGACACTCACTCATCCACTCACCCTCCGGCCCCCACCTCATTGTCCACACATGTATGCTGCTCGCTCTGTTCATATTTTCACATGGTTTATGTGGATTGGGTGTACTATAAAATTAGAAATTTCATCAACGGTTAACGACTTTGTAAGCTCCTCATTTCGATATACAACAACAACAAAGCATTATTCGACTAGGTGGGGTCGGTTACTTGGATCAAATGCCATTGCTCCCTATCATGCATCATATATACCGACGTGAGATCATTCACGCGAAGGTCCCCCTTGACCACTTCTTGCCAAGTCTTCTTAAGTGTATCTTTTCCTTTGCGACATGTCTATTCACTAGGGATGGCAACGGGTCGGGTTCGGATCGGATACTTCAATACCCGAACCCTACCCGAAAAAAAAGTCGGGTATATTTTTTTGCCCGTACCCGAATAGGCGGGTTTTATTTTTCACCCGAACCCGAACCCGATATTAAAATCCGAAACCCGAACCCGATTGAATACCCGAAACCTGAACCCGAAACCCGAAACCCGAAACCCAAACCCGAAACCCGAAACCCAAACCTAAACCTGACCAGGAATAAACAGTTTTAAGAAAAAATAAAATACTAGTATCACCGTTACAAAATATTGAATAAAATATCAGTATCACCGTTACCAAACAAAATACGGGAAACATTGTTATGATTTATTACACAAAAGGTTCACCAAAATTAAAAAAGTCACAAGAGAAAACAAAGTACGGAGTACAAATTCATGCATCAAAGATCTTCACTTTCTTCACTGTCAACATCTATATCCTGAAATATTATAATATCAAATTTAGAATGGTTATGGAATAAAAACATATTAATTTTATTTATCTAGCAATAGTGCAATACTTTTACCTCATTATTGTCCTTTTCTTCTTCCACATCTTCATCGTACAAAACGCTGGAACATGCTAATGTATCATCCTTGTTATTGCCTACAAGGTAAGTCATGCAAAAAAAAACTTCAATGTAAATGTATATTATCTTGCAAAAATAAAATACTTAGTTATGTCTTTTACCTTGGAATTCCATTACTCTCCAACTTTTGAGACACATTAATGCTTCTACCGTCTTGGGAAGTAGCCGACTTCGGCTTGGACTAATTATTCTACCACTTGCACTAAAAGCACTTTCTGAAGCCACTGAAGTAATAGGAATGGCTAAAATATCTTTAGCAACCCTTGAAAGCATGGGGTATTGTTTCCCTACAACACTCCAATAAACCAAAATATCAAGCTTTTCTGGATCCACTATCATCACATCATCATCCAAATAAAGATCCACTTCTGATCTAGGACGTTTCTTTTTTGGCATCATAGAAACATGTCTTTCCCACTCCATATCATCCATTTCAGGAATATCTCGCGACACGTTATCCAAATTAGAAGAAGAAACATTATCTTCACTTCTCATTGTAGAATCCCTCTTCTCATAGTCAATAACTAAATTCTCCAACAATTTTTTCACTCTAGTACACTCTGACTTAGCATCCCCTGGATAAAGCTTCTCAAAATAAAAGGTTACATGCTCCATCTTTTTCCTAGGATCCAACAAAGATGCAACAGCTAAAGTGCCATTAATTTTCCCCCAATATTTGTCAAATTTCTCAATCTTTTTAATAGCCATACCCTGAATAAGTGTGGAGTTTGATGCTTGCCAATTTCTCAATGCTAGTCTAATTTGACAAACTTTTTGGAAGAATAAGTTGGCAGTAGGGTAATTCTGGCCTGAAAAGCAAATTGTTACCTTAGAAAAGATCGCTAACTTGTCGCAAACCTCACGAGCTCTTTCCCATTCAATTTCATCAGGCAATTTAAACTTTTCTTTTTTCAAACTTTGCCTCAACCTATAAAAAGCATCCTTATACAACAAAGCTATTTCAAGCATTTCATATGTAGAATTCCACTTGGTTTTAGAATCTAGGATCAATCTTTTAGTTTCGGGAATTTTAACATATCTAACAGCACCTTCAAATTTCTCATATCTCTTAGGTGTAGCAACCCAATATGCAACTAAATCACGCACTTTTTCAACAGCAGAACCAATAACCTTCAATCCATCTTGAACAATCAAATTCAATATGTGTGCAGAACATCTCATGTGTAAAATACTTCCTCCTAGAATTAATTTGGAAGGATTAAACTTCTCATCCAACAAATCATCAATTACCCCATCATTAGTTGTGCAATTATCAAGGGTGATTGTTGATACCTTTTCATCCAAATTAAGATCAACCAACGCATCCATCAACACCGCAGTGAGTGCATTACTAGTGTGCGGAGCTGGCACATATGCAAACCTACAAAAAAATAATTTAATTAAAAATCATGAGTGCATTATAGTTATATACTTATATTACTAAATTTACTAAAATAAAACTATATAAACATTGCAAACTAATATCAGTTTAATATATTTACCTCAAGATGCGATGATGTAACTTCCAACTATCATCAATAAAGTGTCCTGTCACTGCCATATACCCTTTCTTTTGATTTTTCGCTGACCACATATCAGTAGTAATGGCAACCCTACCCTCAATTGAATTCAAAAACTTCTTCAATCTACCTTTTTCTTCTAGGAATGACTTGAAAAGGTCTGCTTTAACTGTATTCCTTGACACAACTTTGTAATCGGGGTTTAGGCTTGCAGAGTATCTTCTAAAACCAATATGATCAACACAAGAAAGTGGATATTCATGTAGAACAATCATATTGACCATCTCCATTCTTGAAACATCTTGGTTAAACTTGAACTTCCCAGAAACATATGGTATGTTTATGTCTTTTTTTAAAGAAGCTTGTATAAGCTGTTGTCTCACATCAACCCGATTTTTCACTTTAAAACATGAATTGAGGTGATTTTTTAAATGTGAAGTGCCACTTTTACCTGACCCGGCCATGCGTTTATTGCAACCACGACAAATCGCAAACACTTTATTATCTATATTGACCCTATCAAAATGTTTCCACACCACGGATTTCAATCTTTTAGATCCTGGGTCTCCTTCCTCTTCATGAGCAGGCACTTGAGAGACAATTGAAACACTTGAATTGAAAATTTCTTGTTGTGAGTTTTTTGAAGATTCCACATCTTCTTCACCCATTCTAAAATACAAAAAACATGTGCAACAAAATAATGAATATTACTTTGGACATAAACAAACATTTTTCACGCTAAATATGGGAAAAGTGAAAAATAAGAACATAATTTTATGGAAGTATGGTGTTATGATAAGCCATCATCAAAACCCTTCAAGGTAACAATGATGTTTTATACCTAAATGGGAAAAATATTACTAACACAAACAGACATGGAAACTTTTTATGAATTCTTATGAATTCTAGTATTCGGTAGTCTAGTCATATTATTACTCCTAATTGATGACTCTAATTGGTATTATTCTAGTGATGATGACATGATCTCTGCACCAATTCTGACCTTCAAATTTTAAAGAAGAGGATATTTTTCCTACAAAACTCTGTACAGTGGACATGCTAAGTGTGTGTGGATTGGTCACACAACAAGGTAATTAAATAAGTCTATACCCGAACCCATAAATTGGGTGCAAGTATGGAGGATTTAAAATATATGCTCCAGGCCCAGTAAAATGGTTCATTTTCTATTCTTAGTAGCTAAGTAGTGCATATTCAATGACCAAATATTACCATGACATTTTTTGCTGTTTAGGGAACATTATATGATTCACTTTTTTGCCTTGGCCCATTGTTACTGACTGAAATTCAGTATAAGGAACGTAGAGAAAGTAGTAATAGTTCTGGTAATAATTTTCTCTTGTTTGAAGTTAAGGAAATTTTAAAGGATTCAGGTCTGCTGGATTTTGTATCAGGTTGTGCCGTCACACTACACTCAAAATACTGGAGNCTAGACACCCTTCTACCTTTTCAGCTAGAGGGAATAAGGTTTGGGCTGAGGAGGGGCGGAAGATGTCTCATTGCTGATGAGATGGGGCTTGGAAAAACCCTCCAGGTAGCAAAGAAAACCTATTCCAAGTTTTAAAGCCGGAGAAATTTGAATGTCAATATAGTTGTGTACTTAAGTTCAAAGCATTTACACTATAGTAGTAATATTTAATCTAATCTTATCAATCATTAATGTCTTTTTGTTTAGCTTATCAAAGTGAATTTAAGTTTATTGAAATTCAACTGTTGTAAGGTACTATGGTTTAATGATTGGAACCACTTGTATATGTACTTGTGCAGTAAAAGGATTCTTGTTGTGGTCTTGTGGAATTACGCTTTATCCTTAAAATTCCATAGTCCATTCATACAGAATCATATGGAGGGAGTACATATCATTAATGAACTTTTTGTTTCCATTTTCAAGCTATTGCCATTGCTAGTTGTTTTATGAATGAGGGCCCTACACTCATTGTTTGTCCAGCTATTTTAAGATACTCATGGGCAGAAGAATTGGAGCATTGGATTTCATGTTTGCCTTCTGATATCCATCTTGGTATTATTCAGAGCATATCTTTAATACTTTTTGTGTTCTTTATGGGCTATGTCCTAGGCTTGGAGCATGCTGAAAGCCGTAATGTTGGTTGCAATTTCATTGTGTGAAGTGTTCTATGCTTTTGCTAGGTATTACTGAGAATAATAATTAGTCTAGTTCAGATGAAAAGGCATGACACAATGCTATCCAAGTTCACACGTGTCGTTTTGTCTGCTTGCCATTATAGACTTTTTTCGAAAATGTAGTGTGCAATCAGCCTATCAATTGGTGGAGTACAAGATTGAAATGAACCATATATGTTATAACCTGGCAGACCAAAAGCACTGCCCATCTTTGTGGCCTCAATAGTACTTCAATGTTGAACTGGCTTGATCCCTGTTGCAGTATGGTGCATGCCTCAATCTTTGTTAGTTCTGTCCAACTTTCCAGCTTTTCTAGTTTCCTCTAAGTTTTTTCTCCTATGAGGCAAAACCTCACTACACTAGACTCTGGCTCAATAAAAGAGTACTGTG